GAAGGGAATACAAATCAAATGCAGATAAAACTGGCTGTACCGTATGTGCACAAAGTAACCTGAAGGAGAAAGGAAACATTTTGACCCGTTGATGGTGCTGTCAGAAAACACTGTTTAACATCTCCACTGTGGGCGGGGCTTCTTTCTTTATGCCAGCTGTCTATCAGTAAATGCTAGACCCACAAACTAGATGCCTCAACGGGGTGTTTCAATTTTCCCCTTTTTTTTTTTTAGCATATAAATATTAAATGCAATATATTTCTCTAGAAGTGCTGAATCCATTTATAGTTGCTATTGCTGTTTGTAAAAGTGGCATTTTGGTGTAGTAATGATCACCGGTTTCTGAGAAGCTTTTCATATGCTTGATTTGACTCGTCAAAAACCTGATGGTGTCAGCGGTGTAGCCACACTCCTGATATTGTTTCCATACTATCACGTCTCACTTTTAAGAAATGTTTTCAGGATAAAAAAGCGCTTTTTTTGTGACATTTCTGAAACCATAGAGGTCAAGGTTATCACGTTTTCAACAAGGTTTAAAAATGAATATTCATAACATTTGAAATGCAAACATTTATTTGGATCATTTGTGCACAGATACAGAAATTGCAAATCACATTACAGGCCTTTCAAAGAAAAAGTAAAGGTACAAGAGAAAGTAAATGCAGAGAGAGAAATAAAGCTGAAAGCTAATTTATCATATTCTTAATGCACTGTGTGGTGATTCGGTCACTACCACAAGCACTTCTGGATTGTTTTATTCATCCATGCATGCGACCCTCGGGATATTCATTAATTTGTATTTTAACACCCCCATCGTCACTTTGATAAACTTGGTGCAACAACTCCTTTGGCCTAAAGAGAGCAAGAAAAGAAAAAATGAACAAATATTAAATAATTAGCAAAAACACAATTACTCCATTAATCCATTACAGCTAAAATCCCTGCATTCAAATGTATTTATCAAAAGCACTCATTATAAACAATGTGTTATATTGTTAATATTTTGTTACATGTAAGCAGTTTAATGTTCTAGCCTATGGTTCTAGCTCATCGTAGAGCAAATTTATCACGTTCGATAAACATATTATGTTATGTTTTGTGTCTCAAATCTCAAGAGTGTTCTACAATGAAGCTCTCAGACAAATGTTGGGAAGTAAAGAGGACAACACTGCTCAGTATAAAGTTAATAAAATACTGAAAATATTTCAGTAGATGTAAAAATTGATTATTTATACATGTACTGAAATATTTTCAGTATTTTATTTATGGTAATTTATACTGAGCAGTGTTATCCTCTTTACTTCCCAACATTTGTATCTATAGTGACCTTACATGACTGAATGACAGAAATACAATTTATCCTTAAAGAGTTGTTATAATATCTGAAAAATATGTGTATTAAAAATATTGTATAATGGCGGGCTGGAAACTCACTTGCAGGCTTTGACGTTGACACAGATGGTCCGCACATCATCCGTGGTCGTGAGCTCCTCGATTAACTCTGGGAGGTGTGACTTGACAAATTTGCGGCACAACGATTTTAAGCGGCCAATCTCGTTGCAGACGGCCGTCAGCTTTGACTTCAGTTTCTAGAAGAATGCAGATTATTAATGCTCATACCTTCCATGCACCAACTAAATCATCACCAAGCTGTCAGTGTTTTAGTGTTTTACCTCTGCTGTGTCGTTACGTCCGACCGCTTTCTTCACCTTATTTAAAGCCCACTTGCACGCCCAGCACACACCTGGAAGCTTGAACTAAAAATTACACATTGTTGTGATACAAAGCAAAGGAATGAGTGCTTAAAACAGAACTTAGTGAATGGAAAAATGTTAAAAGAACCCATTAGATGCACGGATGCATTGAAGCATTATAATGTTTATAAGTGGAGTTGGTCACTTCAACATGCAGTCAATGTAATATTGACAAACCCCATTAACTGTTTAATTTTCACAACAGTTGTATATTACTTACACAGTGATGCATCAGTATTAACCATCCTATGCTGTGATATATAATAATATGGGAGTTACAGGGGGTATTTTGTGCAGGAGTACCTTTAGTTTTTATACTTTAAGTACTTCTGTATTTTTACTTGTTTAGATTATCCTCCCCCACTCTAATGATAATCCTAACTTTATTCAGGCTTGAGTAGGCTACAATATAAAATCAGGGTTAAAGTGAAATTTAGAGCTACATAATCTACAGAGACACAGCAGATGGGTATTTGAGTCATTGTACATTATCTAACATTTTGTCATCTGATAATAGTAGATGAATTGTTGACTAGCAGAAGGTTTGTAAAGCAGTCATCTTACCTTTCCAGCCTCCACAGAGATTTCCATTTCCCCCGGCTCCTGATCATCGATGTTGACCTCGATGCTTCTGCCGTGGATTGTCCATACTGAAGAGACAATACAAAACATGTTGAAAAGCAGTGGACATGATGATAAAGACAACGTTACACAATCAAATAAACATCAGCACACCTGAACATGTCACCAGAATGCACACAATGAGGATCGAAGAGGTGTCCATGGCTGCCAGTGAGTGCAGATCTCTGTGTGTGTCTTTTATACATTTAACAACACCCCCACAGAAGTACATTTAAACCACAACAAGGCTGGTCCTACGAGGTGGTGGTTTTGTTGAGACCACCATCACAAAAAAAACATTTTCACACCTCCCAGTCATCGAGACGCAGAGTTTCCAGGTAATGCACTCACTACTCACTCGCACCCTAAAGACAAAAAAGACCGACATTAAATGTGTCATCTGTATGAAGACGTTTTTTATCTTTCAAATTGAGGCAATAATCACTGAGCAGTTCATGCGTGCTGCCCTCAATGCAGAAAGGTGATGTTGAGCTTGAAGCCTTGAATTATTTGGTTGTAAAAAAGATAAGGGTATTTGGATCTTTTCTATTTTTATTTATTTAAAAGAGGATTTTTTTTTTTATTCCAGCCCATTTTCAGGTTCATATTTGTATTTTGTGTCTCTACTCTGACATGTCTCCTTGCTTTATTGTTCAAAAAGGTCTTTATTTTTCTCATACTGCCTGCAGCACCTCTTTTCACCCTCTGTCTGAAACCAGAGCCCAGTCTGCTCTGATTGGTTAGCTGGCTCTGTTGTGAGTGGTCAACCGCTTAGAGATGCCCGCCGCTTAGCCTATCACATACAAGGTGTTGGAGCGCTAGCACTATTTCTTAATGCTCTAAATGTTGTTCATTTTTGTAAAACACTATGAATTGCCTTGTGTTGAAAGGAGCTGTATAAATAAACTCTCCTTGCCTACCCAATAGAGCAAGCGTTACATAGTGATGTCATTATGTTACTGAAGTGTACAAAGGCGTCCAATTGAGCAGTTCAGGCAGGGTTGTGGGAGAGAAACTCCAGCTGGAGGGAATTTGGTGATTTTAAACTTTGCTGACCATTTACATGCACTAAAACCTATAACACACAACAAGAAAGGAGAAACACCAAAAAGCCTAATAGGGCCTCTTTAAATGTGTGACCACCTGGTGACCACCCAATGGACTGTAGATGAAAATTCCTTCTAAGCTAAATGTGTAAGGGCCTAGCCAGCATGTTGATGTTTTTGTTATTGTTCCTGTTTTCATTGTTGTTTCTCTCATTTCAGTCTCAGCTTTCCTGCCCTTGATTGAACTCCACCTGCTTCCCTTCCCTAATTAGCCTCACCTGTGCCCCATTATCATCTCTCCCTCTGTCTACTTAGTCTGCATCCACATTCCCTTCAGTGCCAGTTTGTCTTAGTTATTCCTATTGTTCCAGCAGTGTTTTTATTAGTATCTGATTCCACGTGTACCTGACCCAGCTTCGTGTCCTGACCCGGTCCCTGTGTACTCCTCGTCTGTTTTGTTAGCCTTATTGACTGATCTCCCGTGTACCGAACCTTGGATATAAAGACCTTTTTTGTATCCTAATCCTCTGTCTCTGAGTCGTGCTATTGAGACCTCCACTTGTGTTCATTCAGTCTTTACAAAATGCTACATTACAATAAATGGTAACATTTAAGTTTAATATTTTACATGGTCTATTACAAATAAAATAAAAGAGAGGTGTGTTACTTATTACCAAATAAGATAGATAACAGTCAGTAAAACAATGGCATACAGCGTTTCTAATTATGGGGGGGGGGTGTGTGTATGTGTGATTCACAGCTTCTCACCTCCTCTGTATGATGGTCAGTGCTCCGCCTCAACTCTTATTTGAACTAGAATGGAAATCCTCCTCCTCAGTCTGGGGTCTGGAGAAACGTACACAAGTTAAACAACCGCTGAAATGAAATATGTGTCATAAATGTTTAAAACAAAAAGGGAAAATGTATGTTACATTCTTATGAGCATGAGATGCACATTGCTGATTGCTGATGAGTCATTGATCATCAGCTTCACCCTCTGTGGCTTTTTATAATTTGCATGCCTCTCAAACGCACATATTAGCACCGCACGTGGCATTTCCCCTGCTAAAGTCAGACACTGAATTTAAAAAGAATGTCTTACAAAACAAGTGAAAGTATTTCAAATGTACTTCTTAAAAGAAACAAGCGCAGATATTTTTTATTTTACAACACAATAAACCAGTTAACCTACAGAACAAACATTTATTAACTTAATGTATTTAGTTTAGTCCTAATATTTATGTAATTGCTGCAGGGGCCTGGCAGCTGTTTCAGGGATATGTAGACAACAAGTTTACATAAATATTAGGACTAAACTAAATACATTAAGTTAATAAATGTTTGTNTGTGTGTGTGTGTGTGTGTGTGTGTGTGTGTGTGTGTGTGTGTGTGTGTGTCTGTGTCTGTGTCTGTGTGTGTCTCAGAGACAATGTGATCTCCACAGGGGTTATGATAATAGTTTCCAAATGCGGACTAGGAAACAGCATGTTTGCTACACGACAGTTTTCTCGCAGTTAGCGGGTTACACTGTGAAAGTGGATTCATTTTTAGCTAGTTTTCTCCTCATAGTCTTCTGTTAATATATCTCCCTATCTTTAATCTGTTTTATCTTTTCTTTCTGCAGACCAGTGACTTGGATAATGTTCCAGAGGAAGTGGTGGCTCACAGCAGCAGGCAGGAGTTGTCGAGAAAACACAGCGATGATGGTGAGTATCTGTTGCGGTACACCGATTACGTCTGAATTACAGCCATGCAGTGACACAGAGTAAACACACGCTCACCCACCAAGAGAGTCTGAGAAGGTTGCGACATCAAATTGTCCTCCGTTGAACCATTAAATAAGCTTTTCTTTGCTCCTTTTGTTGTGTTTCCTAACTCTGACCCGTCTATAGAGTATCCTGTAGAAAAACATTAGGACCTCTCTTTTTCTTGGTCTGCATTGTGTGTAGCTCTTTATTTAAAAGTGCATGGGTTTTTCAGCTGCACAATAGTCTATGCAGTGAAGGTCAAGGCACTGACCCGTTACAATCTGGAGCGTTCACTGGGTAGGGAAGGAAAGGACGACAAGGTAAATGCTCAAGCCAACCAAGGTAGTACCTACCTGGCCCTTTCCTTTGGAGATTACCACCTGACCCTACTAAAGAATAAATTATGTTCTGAGCCAGGGCCACCTTTGGGCCATGACACTGCTCTGCTTTCTTGAACGTGCTTTATTGCATGGAAAAATAAAACTATAAACTATCTTTAAATAGATCGTTTGAAAATGTATGAACCACAGAAGAAAACACAAGGCAGACACAGTCACAATTTGTCATGATTAAAGTTAATAATATCTTCCATGTTTCTGGTAAGGTTTTAAACTATTCCTAGCATGTATTTTTGGTGTCCAACATATCATCTTTTAGACATTGCAGCCTTTACTAGCATTGTAGAATTCAATCTAACTTCTTGGACTCATTTGATTTAATTTAGTCTTTATTTTTTTATACAGTTTTCACAGTAATCGAGAACGGAAATGAGCATTACCTCCAGCCAGAGAGAAGTCCTGACGACTTGCCGGTAAGAAACACATCAATTTAATCTTTGTACATACTGTATTACAGATTTAATGCACAATACGTATTTAGAGGAATTGCAAGCGAAGCAGTCTGGTCATCACAGTGATTGCTATTCTGGGACTCACAGTCAGTACAGTAATGAGTATTATTGGTGCAGTCTGACAACCTCTGAGAACAGACTTTGTTACTGACCAGTGCCTGAACTCTTCATGGTCACTCTGAGAACTGATACCCAGCCAGTCGGTTCTGCCTCCAATAAGCTCGCTGCTCTTTGCCCCTCGCCTCCATCGTCACTGCTTGATTTCCCAGGACTCTGAGGGAAAACTTCTCTTCCTGCTGTAACAAATCAAACCGGAACTGACAAGAGCACTGGCCTGAACTGATGGAGAGAAGCTTTGAAGTCATGTAACGTCTCAATCTGCAGCTCTGTGTTTCTGGTATTGTTTTCTACACCGTAGATGCAGTGATGATGTTGCACAATTCATGCTGGTGGTGGGAGAAAAAGGTTAAACCTCTCTGAATATCTTGGCACCTCCTGCAGAGTAATCATGAATATTTCATGGGCAGATTTCTAAGCGGCTCTTTTCCTGTCTATCTTTCAAAGTGTTTTGGAGAGGTGCTTTCAGTATCAATGTTCTTTGTGCACTTTTTCTATGTGCAGCAATCTATCATGTTTACTTTTATAGTTTAACATGTTTATCTCTGTTGTCAACAATGGAAAAAGCCACACAGATACTTGGACAAACACAAAAATGAACAAATAACCATATTTGGGAAATAAAACAGTACACATCCAGACACCTATCCTCTCTGCAATACAATATGCCAGCCGTCCATTTTCGGGGAAGAGACTTGAAGTACATCGTGCTGTGTTATCAGACTGGACCGAGCACAGCTGGCAGCCGGCTGTGTGTCCGTCCGCAGACCGCTCCATTAGCTCGGGCTGGAGGACGGACAGATGGAGGCTCTGCAGGGTAATGAGCAGGGGAAAATGCTCAAACTGCCTCTCCGCCAGCGATGAAACCTCCAATTTGAGATGAGAGACTCACACAGGATCCCCATCTGTTCACACTTTCCAGGTTTTGTGTTAAACTACCCAAGATCAATTGACATTCAAATTGCCATGGCTCATTTTTGCGTGGATTCTTTGTTTGGGAAGTTTGCTTGTGTTGTAGGTGGAGCTTTTTCTTTTTATTTGAGGCAACTTTTGTTAATTAAAGTGTAACACGTTTTACCTCCAATAGCTGTTAAGAATGTCACAAGGCTCAGGACCCAAACGCACAACACCAGAAACAGGTCAGGATTAACAAGGTATTTTAATTAAGGTCAAAACACAAAACGCTCACTTGGAGGATCAAAACTCTCAACAAAAACATCTACATGGACTATCAAAAATGATACCAAAAGAGTCTATCAAAAACATACTTAACACGATCAAGGAATGACTGGCAGGCTTGACGAGACAAGACGAACTGGCACAGGACAAAGGGAGACGCAGACTATACACACTAGGTAAGGGGACACAGGTGGCAACAATTAAGGGAGGGGCTGACAATCACACTGGAGGGAAAAACACACAAGGGCAGGAATGCTCTGAAACGAGAGGGAAAGGTTACTACAAAATAAAACAGGAAATCACAAGACAAAGCAAAAGACAAAAGGACTGAACTAAATAAATTAACTTTACACAAATGTCTAGACACCACAATAGCCAAACGTATCTTACCTATCTTTATCCTTAAAGCTGCGCATATCGATATTTTTATAAAACAATGGATCAAATAAACATCTGTAGCAACTAGTAAGTACATCATGGAGCATTTAGGTGCTATACTGTATAGCAGTGTTTCTCAAACTTATTCATACCAAGGACCACTTAAACAATAAGAAAACACTCGCGGACCACCTAACTCCACAAATATCCAGAAACACATCGTTTTTCTAGAACAGATTACAAATCGCCTTAAAATGGTACAAACAAGTGGCAACATGTGTGATGAAGGTGTTGCGCTGGACTATATGATGCAATCAAAAGTGAAAGTTAAACTCACTCCATTGCGAAAATATTCGCGCGAGAGTGCGGAAAACTTTAATTAATTAATTAATTAATTTCAAATGTGAAATTTTACCAATATACTCACGGACCACTACGGGGCGCTCACGGACAACCAGCGGTCCGCGGGCCACATTTTGAGAAGCACTGCTGTATGGCAACATGTTCGAGCAAAACAGTGCAAGATGGAGAGTAAATGTTGCTGTGTTTGCTAGACATGTAAACAGGCAACTGTTGGCTGACATGTGCAACATAAAAAGTTTATAAGGTGATAATATGTTAAAGTTGTATTCACAGGTTGTTAAACTACAATCAATTGGCTAAAAAACAATCAGTAACCGTGGATCTAAAGAAATTCCTGCTGTTCTTCCATTTCATTGTTTTAATTTTTCCTAAATGCAGCCTTTCTGTCTATAACTCAGTTTCAAAGGAGGCTGTTATTTCAACCTGCTCAACCCGATGCACTGTTCCCGGCTCCCAAAGCATCGAGAGCCTCTCAAGGCCAGTGAGCGGCTCTTATTTAGCTGTAATGGATCGCCACTACTTGACGCTGTTGTTTTCACCCAGAGGCCAAGGAGGCAATTTGCCTTGTGGCTTCAGTTAACTCGACTCATCCATCACACACATTGCCACTCCTCATGGACGATGCTCGAGGAGCCCCAAAAGACCAGGAACACTTCTCCTCATTAAAGACACAGCGCCACAAAGATGGCAAATTCTTCCACTGTCTTTCAAAAACAGCCATTAGTGTATCTTAAAAAGTAATTCTCATTTATTTTGGCTAAGTTTCCCTGTGGAAATTATGCAGTAGCTAGTTATCATTTGGAAGGATTTCAGGGACACAGCACGCCGGATAGGTATTGGTGATGAATCAAGAAGACGCCCACCAGGAGCAGGTGTGAAGAGCACCAGTGTGGCGCCGCGTCTCCCCGCTAATTGTGCTAACACTTCTCTGACAACTTCCTCTCCACCCACAACCCTCTCCTGTTTTAACTTCCTGAGTGTTCATGGAAACGTGATCCTGCTTCGCCCACTCGTGTTGACGGTGGATTAAAGGAACAGATTGCAGAACAACATAAGCGGCTCCCCAGTCTATCAGTGTTCAGTAAACAAGGGCTTCTCCTGCCTATGTGAATGCCAAAATACTATTTTAAGAAGCGAGTAAAGTGACAATAGAAAATATGCTGTTGCGTTGTATTTTTGTGACTATGAGCTTTGTTTAACTTGTCAGCTATGTTTTCCTTTTTCCTCAGACTTCTTGAGAACCAAATCTGTTTATGTGTTTTTCTGTGTGTGTGTCTGTGTTATTTAGTTGGAGCAGATCCACCTACAACAAGATGTCCTTAAGCTCAACACCTATGTGGCCTTGTTCAGCTTTACTCCCCAAGACAGCCATGACCTGGAGATGAGGTTAGTTTACTAAGTCACTCGCTGTCAGTAGATGAAATATAGCTGATTTACTCTGACATGCTCACAGTGATATTTTTTAAAACATGTTTTGCTCTTCAATATGTCCTTAACTAAGGAGAAAACAAAGTATACAGAAAAGCTGAGACATTTCCTGTGTTATCAAATCATACGTTTGATGAAACCTTCTGAAGGAGAAAGATTAAATCTACCTCCGTTTCATTCATACACACGCGTATATCCTGATGATTCATTAGGCAGGATGTACAACACTACAAGATTAGGCTCCTCATTTCACCTTTAAGCAAACACATCTGTGCAAATTACAAAATATAGATATCATGTAATCTTGTATATATCTTTTTCGATTTTGAATGAACAGTATAACCATATTTTATTATGTGTATGTATGCCATACTGTATACACACTTCATCAATGAAAGAGATCTCTTTCAGATTGATTTATTGACTACTGTTGCCTTTTGTATGTTGAGAAACATAATTGTGGCACACATACTGCCATGTGAGTCGGCAAAACAAACAAAAAACAGTGACATGCAATCGTAGCGTACTGTATGCCTGAGGGCAGTCGTGCAGTGCAAGGACTTGGCACACGATCACAAACACAAAGTACACTGTTGTCTGCTGCATGTCAATATTCATCAGTCTTTTCATGCCAGGACATTCAATGTTCTGTATATTAGTGTGTCTGTGTTTCTTCCCTGTATCTTATATAATCACTCCATTGAGAGCAATAGGAGTACAAAAACACAAGAATAGATTCAGAAAATAAACTGATTAGCTTCCTTTCTGAAGGTAAGGATCCTCAAAGATTTCTTTCTCTGGAGTGGCCTCATTAATAAAACATGTGTTTTTGCCATGAGGGTCTATTAATATCAGTCAATCTCATGTCTTCATGGATTTATCCTGAGTGTCTTTTGAAATGTCATTTTTATTATATTATACACCAAGAAGTTCATCCAGATTTCTCCCAGAACTGTAGTAGTCAAAACCAATACTATTAGTTGAAATCAGTCCTATTCCATACCAAGGTAGAAAACAGAAAAACAAATATATGATTTGAAAAAAATGCTTTGGTAATTTAATTTTTGTAGTATAAGCTGTGTTACATTGCTGTGAAAACATATATTTTAAACATCTTTATTTACAGTATGATCTACTTTACCATGACTTGTTCATGACATACTACACTATCACTTGTTTTTACATCATAATCTTTTCCTCAATTCTCAATAAAAATATTGTATCATATATTTACATTTTAAATGTTTGCATTTTTATTGATTGCAGTAACACGTTAAATAAAAACAACTAGGGTCAAATCAAACCCATATCAATGTTACAGGGCTGACACATAGTAAAACATTAACATTCACACCTAAGGACAATTTCACATCACCAATTAATGTTTTTTTTGCATAATCATTATATAGCGGGAGTAAACCGGAGTTCCAGAGAAAACCCATATCAATGTTACAGGGCTGACACATACTAAAACATTAACAATCACACCTAAGGGCAATCTCACATCACCAATTAATGTTTTTTTTGCATAATCATTATATAGCGGGAGTAAACCGGAGTTCCGGAGAAAACCCTGGTTACACAGGCTGAAGTATTTGAAGGTCCTTTGGTCATCCTGCATGCTTGGTGGTTGTTTCTGAAGACTGCTGATTTTATGTGACCCCAATATCAGTCTCACCATTCTCGGATGGCTCGCTGAGAGGATCACACATTGCATCTGAAAGATCCCGGGTGCAGATGTCCATCATTTTAAAGGCCTCTGATGCATGAGGGTTAGAATACATGTTATCTTCTCGGTGAACCATTGTTACAAAGCCGTGTTCTAGGGCTTGTCCGGGCGTAATCCTAGTCTGTCCATCCAGATTGAGCAACCCATTTAAGAGGTCTGAGAATGCCATCTTGTCTTCACGCATAACCTCTGACAATGTAATCTTGTCTTCAGACGTATCATAGTCATGTTCCTCTGGCTTCTCCATTACTGCACCTGTCAAATCTTTAACATCATCAAAATACCAACTTGGACATTCTGGCTGGACTCCAGACACCATCTTGTACTGAGATGGCGTCATTAGCTCCCATCCTGGAGTCAAGCCGTTTCCCTTGATAAAATACTGCAAAGTGTTTATCCCAGCATCTAGCAGGTGTTTTTTTGGCTGACCAAGGAGCTGGCAAATAGCTCTCATCTGGTCGTATGTAGATTTTGGAGGGAAAAAGTTGGTATTAAAATACAATGAACCCAGGAGACATCCCAGTGACCACATGTCGATGGCTTCAGTTATAGGGAGACCCAAGGTCACCTCTGGAGCTCTATAAGAAATAGGTTGCATTTCCATACCAACCTCTGCTACGGAAGCTGGGAGGGCCAAACCGAAGTCAATTAATTTAATCCTGAAGGGCTCAGACTTGTGGTTTACAAGCATGACATTGTCCGGTTTCAGGTCCGTATGAATAATGCCAATTCCCTTCAGGGCTTCAAAAGCTACAAGTAGCTGTTGTGTGACAGGGCGGATTTCGTTCAGGGAAAATGGTTCCTGCATTTGCGAATAAAGATCCCAAATGCTCATGTCCAGCATTTCAAAGGCTAGGCAATACTTGTCATGGAACATGAAATTATCCATGTATCTCACTAAGTTATTCTTATCTGGGTCAAGACCCTTGATTCTTTGAAGCATTCTCACTTCATCATTTGCATCTCTTCCGTCTTCGAGGATCTTGATTGCCGTTGTTTCAGATGTTTTCAAATTAACACACTTGGCAACTTTTCCAAAACACCCTTCTCCTACAAAGTCCAATAAAATGAAGCGTGTGGAACTACTGTAAAGTATTGTGGGATTTTTTGCCTGAAGTGGTGCGGGTGCTGACTCGTTGTTTTGGGGTTCAGGATTGCAGGGGTCTGCCTGAGAGGTTGTGTCATTGGTAGGTCTCTCAGTGTTTGAATTGGCAGCACATCGGGAACTCTCAGGGGGTGAGTCACCGTCAGTTGCCTTCATGTCAGTTTCAGGGTCGCTGAGAGGATCACACATTGCATCTGAAAGGTCCAGGGTGCAGATGTCCATCATCTCAAAGGCTTCTGATGCATGAGGGTTGGAATACATGTTATCTTCTAGGTGAACCATTGTTACAAAGCTGTGTTCTAGGGCTTGTCCGGGCGTAATCCTAGTCTGACCATCCAGATTGAACAACGCATTTAAGAGGTCTGAGAATGCCATCTTGTCTTCACGCATAACCTCTGACAATGTAATATTTTCTTCAGATGTATCATAGTCATGTTCCTCTGGCTTCTCCATTACTGCACCTGTCAAATCTTTAACATCATCAAAATACAAACTTGGATATTCTGGCTCAACATCAGACACCATCTTGTACTGAGATGGCGTCATTAGCTCCCATCCTGGAGTCAAGCCCCTTCCCTTGATAAAATACTGCCATGTGTTTATCCCAGCATCTAGCAGGTGTTTTTTTGGCTGTCCAAGGAGCTGGCAAATAGCTCTCATCTGGTCGTATGTAGATGCTCCAGGGAAAAACCAGATTCCAAAATACATTGTTGCCAGGAGACATCCCAGTGACCACATATCAATGGCTTCAGTTATAGGGAGACCCAAGGTCACCTCTGGAGCTCTGAAAGGAATAAGTTGCAATTCCATACCAACCTCTGCTACGGAAGCTGGGAGGGCCAAACCGAAGTCAATTAATTTAATCCTGAAGGGCTCAGACTTGTGGTTAACAAGCATGACATTGTCCGGTTTCAGGTCCGTATGAATAATGCCAATTCCCTTCAGGGCTTCAAGAGCTACAAGTAGTTGTTGTGTGACAGGGCGGATTTCGTTCAGGGTAAATGTTTCCTGCTTCTGCTTATAAAGGTCCCAAATGCTCATGTCCAGCATTTCAAAGGCTAAGCAATACTTGTCTTGGTAATGGAAATCATCCAGGAATCTCACTAAGTTATTCTTATCTGGGTCAAGTCCCTTGATGTTTTTAAGCATTCTCAATTCATTGTTGTCATCTCCTCCATCTTTTAGGATCTTGATTGCCGTAGTTTCAGATGTTTTCAAATTAACACACATGGCAACTTTTCCAAAACACCCTTCTCCTACAAAGTCCAATAAGATGTAGTGTGTGGAACTACTGTGGAGTATTGTGGGATCAGGCCCATCCTTATCTGATTTTGAGCTTCTCATTTTTCCTGTAAAATGTCCCAGCAGAGCAGATTTAAAGTTGGACAGTCTTCTTCCTGAGGTTATAACAATATGAAAGTGTCTGAATCCCTGAGTTCTTACTAAGGTTTGATGATGTCCTCTTCAAAGTGAATGATGACATCATACAGTTCCATAATCGAGCCACAAGTTGATGATTTCATCGTAAGGATGTCAGCATGCTTTGCTGACGTCATCATTCTAAATTCTAAATCAAAATCTTTCACTTGTTTTTGCTCCAAGCTTTTTGTTTTGCCATTCATCTCTTTCACTGTGATGTTATCAATGACTAATTCTGATCTGTTTGTTCGACTTCCTATGGCACTAGCAACTTATTAACCCATTAGCTTCATGACAGTCCATACTCTAACGTTATGACAAACTATACTGAATTTCATGTTATGCCTATGACATTCTTTACTATGAAATTGTTATTGTGACATACAATGACAATTTGTATGACATAATATTACTTGTTACACTATATGGCTTTGTATATAAGATACTATGATGTGGTGTTTATTTTTATGAAATACTATACTATGAGGTTTTTTATAACAAACTATGCCCTTTTATGCCTTTGTACTTTAGTATGAAGTTTGCCATATGCTCTGACATTTTTAATGACATACTGATATACTCTATGGTTCGTCATATTATGGTATGTCATGAAAGAAACCTTATCAAAATGAAAAAACATATGTAAAGGAAGGTTTCACAACCTGCGATGCACGTCCACTGTCTAATGTTGCAGATCAGCCTTACATCTCTCTCTCTCTCTCGTCACAACAAATAAACACAAGATATGTATATTTGGAAAATCGTTACACCGCACGAACAATATTTTGTCTTGTACAGGGACTTAATTTATTCCATTATAGTACTTATACACATACTAGTGCGTATTTGAATTCATACTAGTGCAATATTTACATTCATATTAATGCAAGTAAGTACTCAAGTAAGCACAATTACATTTATTCATTAATTCCACTAAGATTCATACAGAAGAACCCATGTGTGTGCAATGACAATAAAGGCTTTCAGTTTTCTTCAAAAATGATGACATTTGTAATGGCCAAAATGTATAATTTAACACGTATATTGGAGAGAAAACAACACAAATTGCTTTTCAGACACAACCAATGAAAAGGATAGACCTTTAAAATAAAAATGTTGAATTTCAGCCACTGACCTGCATGTAATATCTCCCGACTATAACACACCTGATTCAAATTACCTGCTCGTTATCAAGCAGCTGAAGCTTGTCAAGGTGTTTAATAACGAGCAGATCATTCATATCAGGTTTGCTTCATGATCACAGTTTGTATCCACTTTACAAGTATAAAATAATGGTAAAATACAGCTGGCAAAATGGCTGCAAACCTAACTGGCACATCACTGGCAGTTACATAAAAAAAAAAAAAGAAAGACTCACAAGTTATATACATGCTAATTTCAACTATTTAGTGGTCTGGTGTCCAGAGAAATATTATATACACTTTGTTTGTAGCATGAACTTGGGAAACGTTGATGTGTGTTCCAACATTTAACCACGTTTAACTGCTGAAAACACCATTAGGAGCGTTTATAACAGCAGACATTATAACTTGTGACAGTAGGAAAAGCACAGGTGTTAGGAACAATACTGACAATGCCCCTGCTTTGTTCATGTCGCAGTGAAAGTTGAGTCAAAGCAGCTAAGTTCAGCCTTCAATTGCATTATTCACAGTTGTGCATTTTTCTACTGTGACAAGTCCAAATGTCTGCTGTGAAAAAGGCCTATTTAAAAGTCACATTGGGTGTTTTGGCTTGGCAGTTAATTGAAAACACCTGATCATTGTCAGTGAAGTGTTTTAAGCTGTTGAAAGCTCTGCAGCTGCAGTTCTCCATCCTCCGTGATTCAGTCGGATTACTCTGAATGACAATAACATCAAATCATAAATGTGAAAGGAGTCGCTCATAGTGACAAACCTACACAGAATTATAAGCTGGATCTGCAGCTGCTCTTGGCTTTACAGAGCTTTATAGTGACTTTTTAACTTATTGTTTAACTCTCCGCTCCTCAATTTAACTTTGTTTCCACTGTACTGCACGTTTTTGCACTAACAATCATTATGTGAACATAAACATGACTCCAAAATAAATTAAAATGTTGCTCTGAAACTGCGGGATGTGTAAATTAAAAACCTTGCTAACAATTTAGTCGTAACTTGTTTCCATTGCCCACGAGTGGCTAAAGAACTGTTGATGCAGGTTTAAAGTAGAAACAGCTGAATACCGGTATGTGGCGTCCGTCTAATGATCTCGAATACAATCTGAAACACAGGCTCCAGATTGTATCTCATTTCCTAACCATGATTGATAGGGCCTCGTCAGTGACATACTTTGTAAAGACCCTCAGGAAGAGAGCATTTATCATGAGCAGTCCTTCAGTCTAAAGTATCCATTTGCTCTTGATCCCCACAGGTATTCTGTTAGGATTCAAGAGGTGCACTTGTTCTCTCTCACACACGTTGAGAAAATACTTGATTTAAAATTAATTGGAAATAAAATGATCTTGCACTCCCTGTCCCCCATTGGCAAGCTTTGTTTTAAATGTATTCTCTTATGAGAGCCTATTTCTCCTCTGGGTTTAGCTGCAGACAGTAATCAATAAATCAAAGTTAAAATGGAGGAAAAAGTGGAATATTTAATCAGAAGATTCAGTTTTCATTTTAAGTGAGAAAATGAGGTTTGTGACTATTTTCAGTTGGCCCCACATGCTCTGATTACATGATTACCTTCCACTGTGTGGTGATTGTAATCATGCACATTTATACATTGATAGAATACAGAATTAGATAACCCACTCCTCAGTCTTTATGTTATTTAAAGGACAATGATCTCAGCAAACCTTTATTTTAAGTGGTTTTGAAGCACAGCACTCAAAAGAGATGCTCACAAGGTACATTTCCTGTTATTCTTTAAGAAACAACAGGTGTACTTTGTTTTCACCCTAGAAGGTTTTATGACACAGGCTGCTATGCTGTTTCTCACCTGCAATAAACTGTGTTTTTCTGAGTCATGGCGAGCATTACAGAGCACAGCTAGTGTTGTAACTGAACCACAAGGAGAAGAAAATGGGGAAATTACGTTTGGCTCAACTGTGCTGGCCCTTTTGATTTTTATTGATCAAATTTAGCCAACGGCTTGGAACATATGTTTGTAATTATGGCACATGCGGTAAATGATTAATGTGTTTACTGGACAAAGAACAATTACTTACAGCAAACTGGATCTAAGTTGCATCTGGAAAAAACCCACAAACACCTTCATCTGCTTGACTATACAAGAGGGCCAGAGTCAGAGAGATCAAGTAAAGAGGTGCAGCTTCTCTCATTGTTGACAGATACAATAACTTGTAGGTGCTATCTGATTCACCCTGTTGCACTGTACAGCAGATATGAAGTGTGTCATGACAACAGTGGAAGATTCACTTCTAAACAATCACAAAACTTATTATACAAAGAGTCAACAATTTCTCATAGAAATAAAATAGAACGGGATTCTCCTTTCTAGCCAATTCACTTTTATACTGTTAGCTAAATGACTACTGATGTGGTTATTATTACTTACTTTGTAAAGGGGATTTCTGTCACTATACATAGATTCATCAAACCATGAAGATAAGAGGAGGAAAACGTTCCCTTTTTCAGTATCTTTGTCTTTTGTGCTCTATATTGCAGCGCAGGAGACAGAATCTTAGTGGCTGACGACTCGAATGATGACTGGTGGAAGGTAGGTTCAAAACCAACTCATAACACCATTATGAATAGTGACAAGTCATGTTAAACATTTTCTTTGTTTATATTATAATTAACCTTCAAAGATTAATAGTTACAAGATAACAGAGGCAGTTTGGAACGGTTTACATGAAATGTGGATTTTCCACAAAGCACCAAAATGCCCAAATAAGAAGTGGAGCTCTAAATTATAGGAGCGAGGCAACAGGCGAGACACAACTGCACGACAGATACATTGGGTAGACAAAAGGGTGAAAACGTGACTGTACAGAGGCAGCCTGCTACCACCAGACCATGAAGAAACTCATCACGCATTTTAACTCTGCTGCTGTTTTCTACCGGCTGTAGATAAACAGAGACATCTGGTCAGTTTGATATGGATACTGTTGTTTCACATGCACAGTACAATGTTTAGGTACTGAAGGTGAGCGTAGCGTAACCTCTTTATATCTATGAACCAGGTGCATAGGTAGAAAGTTATGTACTGTACTGTGTTTTAAGTATTTTATCAAACCATTGGTTTATTTTCCATATATTTCTTCAGGGGGTTATTGAGGACAGGATCGGTTACTTCCCGGCGGCCTATGTTCATCAGACTGGGATTGAGGACCAAGTGTTCAGGTGTAACAGGACGTTCATCGGCTGTAAGGAACAAGGACAGATCACCTTAAAGGAGGGACAGGTACTGTACACACCTACTGTATAAACCTTATGATGATGATGATGATGATGAGTATAGGCTGATTATCGACATGTTAAGTGTAAAGTCTTAACATAAATACAGGCTGTAGGATGTCCCTTCTAAAATAGTGTTTATTTATATCCTTCATTATCCTGCCCTGTAATTATGGCCTGTTTATCTTCTGCATCTGCAACTCTCCGTGTTATATTTATTCTATTTTCTTGTTCTGGGTTTTGACATATTAGTAGATAGTGCTTCACGACAGCAAAATAAAACAAAATGAAAGAATGATAGTAAAAATATGATAATTATAAATAAACATCTTGCAAAAGGAATGCACAAAAATAAGATAATAAATGAATAGCATTGATTATAAGCCAAACACAAATGTTTTATTATGTGGAGGTACATTCTTAAAACTGCCAGATAAATACCCATCAATCAAACGTATAACAGGCTAGATAGCTCAGTTTATATGTATTTTTTTGGGGGAAAAACCCATTTACAAACTGTAACAGTGGGATTGTTGTTAAGGTCAATTGCCTGCCTTTAGAGCCACAATAACACAAAACACATTATTAATGAATGAAACATCAGCAGTCTTGATCACATGAACGTCCTTGTCATTATGGGTTAGGGGAGCAATGACCTTCAAGGTGAATATTTAAACTTTCACATTCTACCTGGGTGTAATTCATGATCACAATCTTGCCATTAGAGCTCATCAGATTTACATCATCCAGCAGCTCTTTAGCCATCTTATTACCCTCCTGCAGCCCCCACGTTGCCCCTTACTCTTCCCTCGCATTCACCTATAACCTGAAAAGCTTGACTGGAGTTTGCTGAAAGGATCCTTCGTCGAAGTAACCATTAGATTATCATTTTGGTATAATGGCTCTACTTAGGTCATGCCCCTTTTTTCCCACAATGCTTTCCAGGACATGTTGGGATTTTAAGAAAAGAACCCCCAGTGGAGATGAAACCGCCGATTAAACGAGTAGAGTCTGTGACCCGCTGCCTTTCTTTTCCGTTGACACAAAACCCAGGGGAAGGTTTTGGAGCGTACTAAAAGCCACTATGCAGATACAATGTGTTCTAATCTATCAAGAGGGTCATTCAGGGCATCTAATAATCATAGCAATATTATAAACAACCACAACTACATCATCATCATCATCATCATCATCATCATCATCTTTAAAAATAGGTTGCGTTTGTAAATTGTCCCTTTGAGCTGGACCATACATCATACAGATTGAGTGATATGAGACATAAAAACAGAGATGAGAGAAACAAAGATAAAATGAAAATTAAAGTTTTGTTGATTATGTTTAGACTAGACGACATGTGGGCGCTTTATGGTTCATACATACAAATCTTTATTGACTATTAGATTTGCAAAAGACCATAACGCATGTAGTTGTAGAAGAGTTCAACATGAAAACTGACAGGTTATCAAAGTTGATGCATGCCTAACCTAAAACATGAGAAACAGCCTAGGAGCCAAAAAAGACAACAGGGCTATCTGTACACTTTTTGCCATAATATGTATTTCTAGTCTTGCCCCAGTGTGTTTTTATTTAGTATGAACTTGGCACTTCCACTTTAAAGTCTATATCGACCTCATGTCAGTATCAGATATTGTGTCCTTCCATCTGTTACTAACATTAATCAAATGTTTTATTGTATGTTTGACTGCACTGGTTATTTTCAATTTCTATTAAAGTACATTTTCATTATTTGCCTCAGATCTGTGTGAGCAGTGAGGGCGAACACAGCGGCTTCATCAGAGTGGCGAGTGGAAAGAAGAGAGGCTTCGTGCCCTGCGATGTTCTGGAAATCATATGAGACAAGCACTCAGAGACAGAAAGAGAGAGACTGAGACAACCAAGAGGAGGAGGAAACTAAAACTGCAAAATGGCTCAGAGAAACCAGGGAGAGACTTTGCCTCGTCAGAAGTGTTGATGTTAAAGTGATACTGGTTTTGTGAATGAAGACTCTGCTTTGTTGTGGGTCCGAGTCTCCGTACCTTCTTCCCTCTAACACAGAGCTAGATGCTAAAGTAGACATTATAGTGTGTTTGCTAAACAGAAGCCCTCTGTTTCACTGGATTTGATTTAATTTATAAAGCTGATCGAAGTGTTTCTGTTCCCCTTAGTTTGATTTTGCCACAAACTGTTTGTTTTTAAAAATGGAAACTCCCGTCTGCTTTTCAAAGAAAAGGAAACAAACACAAAGCACATCCAATGGCATTCCTCTTACAAATAGTTTAGTTGACATGCTTTGACATCATGTTGCCGGCAAAGGTTTAGCTTTTAATCCAAGGATTTGAAGTTTGTAATAAATGGGTGATTATTTTGGATGACAAAATGCCAGATCTCAGAAGGCAATGGAAGATTGTATCACAGTAAACCTACTTTCTACTTAAAATATTTAAAGGTGGGGTAGGTAAGTTTGAGAAACCGGCTCGAGATACACTTTTTGTTATGGAATGCTCTTAACATCCCGATAGTGGCAGATTTTTTTTTTTTGTTCCGGCTGTGTATTTTCAAATTCTAGCGCACTCGAGCTGGTTTCTCCAAAATTACCTTCCCCACCTTTAAGTAGGAACTTTTTTTTTAAACTTGCCATAACTTCCAAACTACAGTGACAGTCCTAAGGTAGAAGGTCATTCACAACTAAGAGATTTGAGGGAGTATTTTCAGAGGAATTTGTCAAAATCAAAGACTTCAGAAATGCTCAGTGGTCTTTTCAAAATATCGCCCTCATATTCCCCAGATTTCAAATCTGACTCATTGCACTTCCTGAATTACTCAATGGTGACGGTAATATGCATTTTTCTTTATCGTTAAAATCAGAACCCTTATTTAAAATCTGTTTTCCACTAGAAAACAAACTTGTTATTTACGAATGTTTACCTTTTAAATTGTTTCCATGCTTTGGGATCCATTTGACTGATCTTTTAAGGTTTGTCTTTAATTAAATTATTTCTCTTTTTGGTGATTCTGAGAGGTTTTACATCATAGTAGATATAGTATATCTCTTAAAGGTTGTTCTGCACTAAAACGTGGCTTTATTGAATGTCCTGTAAATACTGTACATACCAAATAAAAAAATATTCTTTATCACAACAAACCAAAAGTGGATTCTGATAATGTTGTGGTGTCTTACATGTATGACTTCTTTCTGTACTCAAGAGTTATTACATTGAATTCCCTATAAAAACATAAGCCTAATATTTGACATATTTAAAAAATGTCCGTCATGCTTCAAATATCTCTCTTGTCCATGAATAAGAATCGGTAAAAGGCTAATTTGCTCAAGTGGGCCCAAAGAAATTATGCAACATGCAAATATGTATTTTATGATGTGATCTTTGTCAGTGAAAACAACTGGATTGTGACTCAGTTATTCACAGAGTGCAAAGAACCAAATTCATTTTCACAGCGCGAGAAGCAGTAAACTAGATGATTAAAAATCTTTTAATTTTAATTAATAACTTTCCTGCCAACATTGATGAAAAGTCAACCGTGTGAGTCGCAGTAATGTGTTTTATATTTTTCTATATTTGTATTGGTTAAAGGTGGGGTAGGTAAGTTTGAGAAACCGGCTCGACAGAGCCGGCCCGACCCATTAAGCGACATAAGCGGCCGCTTAGGGCCCCGCAGCCACTAGGGGGCCCGCTAGCAAAAATAAATAAATAATATTCTCAGTACACCGTTGCCGTGATAAGTAGCCTATGTTTAATTAATTTAGTTAATATGCCTAGATTGCCTACTCTCAAAGTCATGTATTATATTATTGAGTCAATCAATATATTCACCGTGCTTTACCTGAACTTCATCATGACACTAGAGAGGACGACAGGATTGTAATTTCCCGTGTTCAGTGAATGCAACAGAGGCAAGACACCAGATCAACCAGAGAGTTGAATGGAAATAAACATCTGTCTTATTGTCTGACAGGTACCTATCCTGTGAGCTGTGACAATGTTTAAAATAAACTGTCAGTCGGACTCAGAGTTTTTGAAGATGGACATAAGAACATATTTTCTTAAAAAAGACGACAATTCTCAAGTGGTGGCTCAAACAACAACCCCAGAGCCACCACTTGAGCCAGGTAAACAAGGTATGTAAATGTCAGTAAACTTCCAAGATATGCGAACATGTAAGCAAAGCATAAATTACAGCTACGTTGACGTTACTTTGAATCGCGGGGGTAAGCTAAACCGTTAGCAAGTAGCTATAGCTAGCCAGATATATTAAATAAACACTTTGTCATACAATCTAAATGTAATATTTTTTAGAGTTACCTGGTGATTTCAAAGAAAGCTCTCTGGAAAATGTTGACTTACTGTTCGACATGAAGCTAGAAGCTACCTTGCAGTACACAGTTGATCCTGAGTCCTGTCCAGCGGCGCAGGATTAATTTCAGAAGTGGGGGGGCCAAAAAGTGCGTGTGTATGTGACATACTTGCCGACCCTCCCGATTTTCACGGGAGACTCCCGTTTTCCTCCCGGGGTCATATTTATCTCGCATTTCTCCTGATTTCTGACTAAATCTGATTTGTTTCATTCTAACATAACGCACCAAATGTTACTGTTTCCACTCGGACTTTAATACAG